AGGGGCTTGCATTACTAGGTAGCTAAGCATAACGGTTGGGTGGACGGTTACATAACGCGTGTGGAAGCAAAGAAAATCACTATTGGAGGCTGCAACTATAGCCTCCAATATTATCAAGGCGATCACGAGGATGAATACACGTTGACGAGAGATGGGAAGGTTTGCCTATTCCAAAATGGCATACTGAAGATGTGTTACGAGGTGGATGCGGACGAGAGCGAAATCGGCGACTTTACCCGATTCGAAAATGGATGTGTCGCTTTTGTGCAATCCTATGATGAAATCTGGGACAGAAAGAATTTTCATCGTATTATAAACCATGTCCGAGGCGAGCGGATGGAAATCTATTCGCATGCGAGTGATCACCTGATATATCACGGTGAATTTAATGAGAAGCGAGAACGAGAAGGATGGGGCATCCAGTATGACGAAGAAACGGGTGCCATGCTGCTCGAGGGGATCTGGAAGGAAAACAAGCTGGTGGAGATCATCCGCAAGATCGAAGGAGCCATCATGACCGAGTTCAAGCGAAACGGTGACAACACCATCGCTTCGAATCGAATTCCCCTCTATGTGGGCGAATTCGTGTATGATGAATCGAAAGAATCGTTTCTTCGAAATGGTCGAGGATACTGGATCGATGAAGAAACTCGGATTGCTACTCGCGAAGTGGAATGGAAAGATGGAGTGGAAGTGAGTGGAAGAGATCTCTATGATGGATGGCATATTCATTGATTCACTCAATATTACTTGTTTATTTAATACTATTACTATGTTAATCACATTGCATTTCACATTGTTTTGTTGATCAAATAGAAAGCAAGGTTTTCATTCATAGGATTCATGGATTCCATCCATCATATTATTCAATCGATTGTTTTGTTTAATGATACTATGATTCCTATTCACCATTTCAATCTATGAACCACATTCCTTTCTCTGCAATATCATTCTTTGTACTCAATATGGATGATCATTGTGACAGAAGAGAATCGAAGTATCAACAGAGAATCAATACAATAAACCACTTGTCAAATAGAAATGATGGATTTTGCATTCTACACACTACTGCCATACTCTCTATTACGAATCTGACCATTCCAACAGTATTCACTATTGTGAGTTCGATAGATGCAAAACAAGATTAACTACCACATAATTGATATATTTTGAAGAACATATATCCATTATAGACTTAATAGAACAGCCATTCTGACATGAGAGAGTAAAGGTGATCAAAATGCGTAGTACTTTACAATTATAGCTATAAGTATCTGAAAATAACACAAAAATAAATGAATAGATGGAAATGCACCGAAATAAAGAAAAATAGAAATGGGTGGAGAAAATGAGGTTTTATTTTATGTATTCTAGTTTGTAACACACCAGCATATCAAAGCCATACACAATAATCCATGACGTGTGTTCTATCGAGAAATAATGAAACAGATCTTGTTTCCAAAATAAACGTTTTACCATATTTCTTTTCATTTCCATGCAAAAGATTGTTGATTTTGTCAATTCTGCTATTAGTAACTATCATATTGATAGTTCCATCATCCAAAATGTGCAGGCATGCTTGGGTAAAGAATGGAAACCAAATGGCTGGATTTCACTTATTTTGAGTAATAGAGAATGTGTAGTATTGCAATTCAATAATGGAGTATTCATGAATCAAGGATTTGTGGTCAATGAGCAGAAAGTGTTGAAAGTGTTTGGAAATCATCAAATTGGTGCTATTTCATATAATGAAGAATTCTTGGTAGAAGGAATCGTGGATTTGGATCATGGAAGTCGATTTGAAGGCTTGGTATTGGCAGAAAACAAGTTTGGAATTCCATTTGGATATGGTGAAATGTATGATGATGATGGAATATTGGTGTACAAGGGCATAATGATCAATTGGAAACGATTTGGATATGGAACGAGTTATCATGATAATGGATGTATTGAATATGAAGGATATTGGTGTGATGATAATCGATTTGGAATTGGAAAAGTGTATGATCGATATGGTAAATTAGTGAATGAATGTGAATGGTGTAATGGAATTGAATGTGATATTGATGAAGGCGATGGCAGCAAACCACTGAATATGGGAATGAAACATTTGAAACTGAGTGACAAATGTGTATTGGTTGATTGGGATGTTTCATTGTTGTATAATTTGGAATCAATCGAAATCGGCAATGATTGTTTTGAATCAGTGAAAACATTCAAAATCGATGGATTGAATCGATTGAAAACGATCAATATTGGCAGGAATTCATTTACTCAGAAAAAAAATAGGCCTGGAAATGATAAATCAAAATCATTCCACATATTGAATTGTGGATCATTGGAATCCATTCTAATTGGTGAATATAGTTTCAGTGATTTTGCTGGAGACTTTGAATTGAAGAATTTACCGCAATTACAATCCATTCAAATTGGCACAATTGGAAGTGATTCGTTCAATTTCTGGTGTAGTTCATTTGTGATTCGAGGTATTGATATGATATTGAATATTTGAATAATGCATAGATCTTCCAAATCTACAATCCATTACATTAGGTTGGTGTGCATTCCATGGTTCCTCATCAACCATAATAGAAAGTATTGAATGAATTCGAATGAAATGATTGATGTAGATCTTCCATCATTACAATCCATTCAACTCGGTGATTGGGCACTTTTTGGAAGAGATGATGATTCATGTTCATTGATAATGCGAAGTAATAATGAATTGATTGGTTATGATTTGTTTTGTAGATCTTCTAAATCTAACATCAATAACTTCTGTAACAGCTAGTTTCTATTGTCCTCGTTGGGTGACATTGGAAAGTATTTCTGAATATTGAATATTGATAGTATTTAGATATTCCAAATCTTCAAAATGTCAAGCTACCTAATTCATTCCAGGAAGTTCAATCGAAATCAATTTCGAGTATAGTTTGATTGATTTGATTTGATTCATAGATGTTTCTTCCATTCTCGCTGATCTTGTCCACGAAATCGATGAGTAAATCTATAATTTTGATTTGATTTGATTTGTTTAGTGATTCGTCATTGACTAGTATTGGTTCCATTGATTGATTGATTGTTTGTTTGTTTGAAACCGATTCTTGATCACAATTCATGATTCTATAATTATCAAAATATCAATCCTGTCTGATTATTATGATGTTCTTCTTTGCCATTTTAACAATGATACTGAATTATGATTGTTGTTTCAATCAATCAATCAATCAATCTATCATTGTTTTCGATTATTATCATCATCATTATTATTACCAATGACCCAATGATCACATATTGAACATTCACAAATGATGAATCCAATCTACCAATAATAATAATAATAATAATATACAAATGATGGTTTGAATAGGTTTGAATTAGGATTTGTTCAATATTGATAGGAAACTGCTTGCTTCGAATAATCATCATAATCATCATGAATAATAAGATTGGATTTGATAGTGACACAATGGAATGGTTGGAATCGATTGATATTGGATGATTATTCACATTTGTGAATCCATTGTTAAATCGGTAGATAATACAATACAATACAATGATTGATATTGAATTAGGATATTGATTTTGACTTATTGAATAGGAATCGATCACTGTATACATAGAATAGAATAGAATAGAATCAAATAGAGGTGAAATGGATGAAACAAGGCAATGAAACTACAATAGAATAGAATAGAATAGAATCCGATTGAATAGCATTGGAAATCATATTGGATTCACCATTCAATCAATCCAACTATCATTTGTTTGTTTATCAATGAGTCACAAAACATGGATTTATCAATTTGATAATAATGGAATCAAATCGGATGTGTTTGATACTTGATAGCTGTAGTTAGTAGTAATATCAATCGTGGTTTCACAATTCGATATTTGGATGGAATGTCGTATTCTTCAATATCACACAAACCACTCACTCACTCACTCACTCAATCAATCAATGGATCAAAGATAGCTGATTCAAAATGCAAATGAATGTTGAATATCGTAAAGAATCAATTCATCATTCACACTCAATAATACTGATAAGAATAGAAGGGCTGTTCAATCCATTGATTGAATGATCGATTGAATGAATGAATGGTGTGTATTTGGTTAGTTTTCGATCTCCATTCATCATCATTACTATCATTATTATGATTGTATCATCCACATTATTCATCGGTCTATTTCAGCATATTGAATACCATTAGATCACTTTGGTATTGTTGATCATGAATAGAATGATTGGATAGGATCGATCAATCAGAATCAGAATCAGAATCAGATGGATGATGAGTATTCAACCATCAATCCTAGTGATTATTATTATTAGTAGTTTTTGTATTTGTATTTGTTCGATTATCAATGATATAGAATCGATCGAATGATTCATTGATAGCGATCCAATCGACTGATAGAATTATACAATTGATTCGATCGAATCCAAATGGAACAATCACTCAAACACATTGTAGTCTCAATGGTTGTTTGCAATTGAATCGATCGAGATTTATGAAATCGTTATTTTCGATCATTGTATTAGCTGGAATCTATCATTGTACTGTATTGCATAACAATACTCTTATTTCTTTCTTTCTTTCTTTCTTTTTTTTGATCATTATTATCATTATTATTATCATTATTGATATCATTCAAATCATTAGATCCCATTCGAACAAGTCAATATGGAATCAGCATTTGATAATCACAATACAATAATGAGGCATATTGTGAGAACCATTTGTGTTGTGGTTTGAATATGAGTATTTCGATAATGGGTTTTCTTGGAATCCATTGTTTGGTTGTATATTCAATATGCTGTTTGTGATTGTACACCGATGAATCCACAAATCACATATTTCGAATGAATCTTGATTGAACGACTTTAATCGAATCGTTTTGACAAGATTCATTGCACTTAATCCAATTGAATGAATAGGAATCGACACAATCCATATTTGTTTGTTGAAATAGTATTCATTTGGATAATACTCAATGATTCATTATTAGTAGTAGGTAAATGACGGGAAACACGCGGAAATCCATTTCCTACCAAATAACCGCGGCAACCCTTTTTTTGCCATTTTCGACCATTTTCTGCCATTTTTGCCATGGTCTTCCTGGTCACCTCGACTACCGTGACGGGAAACACGCGGAAATCCATTTCCTACCAAATAACCGCGGCAACCCATTTTCCACCATTTTCTGCCATTACCTGCCTGGCTACCTTATTGTCCATAACAAGAAACGCGCGGAAACCCATGACTGCCAATTCCTGCAATGTTAACCTGACTTCCATTGTAGGCCATGGTATCCATGGTTGTGATGGGGCAACGTACGTTGCCCCGGGAGGAATCTTCGATTCCTCCCCATTGTCTTGTTGACTAAGGTAAAGAGAGAAAGACCATGCACTACTCCATGCTTATTCAAGGCTCACCTACCAACGGCTCATTCACCTGGATCAACCCCTACAAGTACAAGAATCCTTATATCACTTCCATGACTGTCCTGTTTCATCCTAATGGTTCGATGTTTAATAACGTAGACACGACGAATGTGATTACTAACAGCAATGACGAGAAGGTGACAATCCCTGCTGGTTATTACACGATCAGTGAGATCATTGCCTTGCTCAATACCATGACCGATACTACATTTTCCATATCTACGAATGCCTCGTCGTTCGGCTGTATCTGGATTCAGTCTCCACACACCATTGACTTCACAGATGCACCTGATATTCGTGAGATCCTCGGCTTCGATGGACGAACGGTCATTCTACCTGCTTCGTTCAGTGGATCGAAC